GGGTGAGATGGGATGGGGTGGAGATGGGATGGGGTGAGATTGGGTGGGGTGAGATGGGATGGAGTGAGATGGGGTGGGGTGAGATGGGATGGGGTGAGATGGGATGGGGTGAGATGGATGGGGTGAGATCGATGGGGTGAGATGGGATGGAGTGAGATGGGGTGGGGTGAGATGGGGTGGGGTGAGATGGGATGGGGTGAGATGGGGTGAGATGGGGTGAGATGGGATGGGGTGAAATGGGGTGAGATGGGATGGGGTGGAGATGGGATGGGGTGAGATTGGGTGGGGTGAGATGGGATGGAGTGAGATGGGATGGGGTGAGATGGGATGGGGTGAGATGGGTGGGGTGAGATGGGATGGGGTGAGATGGGATGGGGTGAGATGGGGTGGGGTGAGATGGGGTGGGGTGAGATGGGATGTGGTGGGGTGAGATGGGGTGGGGTGAGATGGGATGAGATGGGGTGAGATGGGGTGGGGTGAGATGGGATGGGATGTGGTGGGGTGAGATGGGGTGAGATGGGGTGGGGTGAGATGGGATGGGGTGGAGATGGGATGGGGTGAGATGGGGTGGGGTGAGATGGGATGGGGTGGAGATGGGGTGGGGTGAGATGAGGTGAGATGGGATGGGGTGAGATGGGATGGGGTGAGATGGGATGGGGTGAGATGAGATGGGGTGGAGATGGGATGGGGTGAGATGGGGTGGGGTGAGATGGGATGGGGTGGAGATGGGGTGGGGTGAGATGAGGTGAGATGCGATGGGGTGAGATGGGATGGGGTGAGATGGGATGGGGTGAGGATGAGATGGGGTGAGATGGATGGGGGTGAGATGGGGTGGGGTGAGATGGGGTGAGATGAGATGGGGTGAGATGGGGTGGGGTGGAGATGGGATGGGGTGAGATGGGGTGGGGTGAGATGGGGTGAGATGAGATGGGGTGAGATGAGATGGGGTGAGATGGGATGGGGTGAGATGAGATGGGGTGAGATGGATGGGGTGAGATGGATGGGGTGAGATGGGATGGGGTGAGATGGATGGGGTGAGATGGGATGGGGTGAGATGGATGGGGTGAGATGAGATGGGGGTGAGATGGGATGGGGTGAGATGGATGGGGTGAGATGGGTGGGGTGAGATTGGGTGGGGTGAGATGGGTGGGGTGAGATGGGGTGGGGTGAGATGGGATGGGGTGAGATGGGATGGGGTGAATGGGATGGGGTGAGATGATGGGGTGAGATGGGATGGGGTGAGATGGGATGGGGTGAGATGGGATGGGGTGAGATGGGATGGGGTGAGATGGGTGGGGTGAGATGGGGTGGGGTGAGATGGGATGGGTTGAGATGGGATGGGTGAGATGAGATGGGGTGAGATGGGGTGGGGTGGAGATGGGATGGGGTGAGACGGGGTGCGGTTAGATGGGGTGAGATGAGATGGGGTGAGATGAGATGGGGTGAGATGGGATGGGGTGAGATGAGATGGGGTGAGATGGATGGGGTGAGATGGGATGGGGTGAGATGGGATGGGGTGAGATGGGGTGAGGTGAGATTGGGTGGGGTGAGATGGGTGGGGTGAGATGGGGTGGGGTGAGATGGGATGGGGTGAGATGGATGGGGTGAGATGGGATGGGGTGAGATGGGATGGGGTGAGATGGGATGGGCTGAGATGGGATGGGGTGAGATGAGATGGGGTGAGATGGGATGGGGTGAGATGGGATGGGGTGGAGATGGGATGGGGTGAGATGGGGTGGGGTGGAGATGGGATGGGGTGGATATGGATGGGGTGAGATGGATGGGGTGAGATGGGATGGGGTGAGATGAGGTGGGGTGAGATTGGGTGGGGTGAGATAGGGTGGGGTGAGATGGGATGTGGTGAGATGGGGTGGGGTGAGATGGGATGGGGTGAGATGGGATGGGGTGAGATGGGATGGGGTGAGATGAGATGGGGTGAGATGGGGTGGGGTGAGATGGGATGGGGTGAGATGGGGTGGGGTGAGATGGGGTGGGGTGAGATGGGATGGGGTGAGATGGGATGGGGTGAGATGAGATGGGGTGAGATGGATGGGGTGAGATGGGGTGGGGTGAGATGAGATGGGGTGAGATGGGATGGGGTGAGATGGGGTGGGGTGAGATAGGGTGGGGTGAGATGGGATGGGGTGAGATGGGATGGGGTGAGATGGGATGGGGTGAGATGAGATGGGGTGAGATGGGATGGGGTGAGATGGGGTGGGGTGAGATGGGGTGGGGTGAGATGGGATGGGGTGAGATGGGATGGGGTGAGATGGGATGGGGTGAGATGGGATGGGGTGAGATGGATGGGGTGAGATGGGATGGGGTGAGATGGATGGGGTGGAGTGAGATGGGATGGGATGGAGTGAGATGGGATGGAGAGTGATTCTGATTCTGGATGGGAGGATCGAGAAGATGGGATGGCTGAGATGTAGAGGAGGTCGGATGAGAGGAGAGGAGAAGATAAAACAGTGTTCTTCACTAATTTCGAGATGGGGGCCACTTTCACCAACAGTCTGGTGCAGGCTATATGGGGGGGGGGTCTTTGTCTTTTTGTGGAAAGTGTTGTAATTTCCATTGTGCTTGTTGCCACCTTCCACCAACGCAGTAGCAGCAACAAAATCCCCAAATATAGAGCAGCGTTCTTCACTCATTTTCAGAGGGGGTGGTGGTGGTGGTGGGGGGGGGAGCCTGCTTCCGCCGATAAGACATCATCAGCGTGAGCGAGTGCCACCACACACGTGACACCATTGGGGGCTTTTGACAGCAGTGCGACGATCATGATGATGGGGAGAGGGGTCGGGGGGGGGGGTGTTCTCACTCTTTGTGGATTGTCAAGTCAGGGGGCCGAGCTAAAGGCCATCAGGGGCCGCCAGTAGCCCGCGGGGAGGAGGGACGATGAGGATGTTGGCCCTGCGATCTGGGCGAGCAGTTCACTGGCTTCTCGGAGAGAGACGGCGGCAGCAAAGTAAAGAAATGCCACCAAATAAATAAAAAAATGAGTCAATAATTAATACATCGTTCGCCGGCGTGGGTCTCGTTTCCTTTGTTCGTCAGCTCAACTTCAAAGCTCACGGCCCACTCAGAACGTTCCCGCCACTTACTGCCAGGCCACGCGGTTGTGAGAAAAATGAATAAAAACTCTTTGGTTCTTTCGGTGAAGTCACGTAGGTAGAAAAATTGAGTAGAATAAAAAATAAAAAATCACGACGTTTCGATCGCAACACAAGCGGCCGTCCTCAGGCGGTCCAGCAGTTCCACCGCGGATTCTTATTTGTTTCCGCCTGAGGACGACCGCTTGTGTTGCGATCGAAACGTCGTGATTTTTTTTTTCTACCTACGTGACTTCACCAAAAGAACCAAAGAGTATGGATTCGTGCAGTCACGGAAGCTTCAAATCAAAAATGAATACATACCCGTGGCTTCATTTCTTTTAAATAAATAAACACATCGAGCCGCGAGCCAATACTTACTTTTTAATCTTTATCTTAGTGGATTTGCACGGTCACTTAAAATAAATATCGCCAATAATGTATCTTTATTGCGCATAGTATTGCCGTAAACAACAACAACAACAAAGACGACGACGATGATCATCGTCGTGGTCGTCATCGTCGGTGTCGTCACGAGCACGTGACCTTTGCGGGCGGGCCAAGGTCACGAGAAGCAAGGAGGGTGAAACCTTGCGGAGCCGACTCAACCAAATATTCGCGGGGCGATTTTGGAGCCCCCCCTCCCCCCCACTAAAAGGTATATAAATATATATCTATTAATATATACATCGCTACTGTTTGGTTCTTTCGGTAAAGTCACGGAGATAGAAAATGATTACATCACAAGCGACCGTATTCAGGTGAGAGAGAGAGGAAGCTACCGAAACAAGGTCTCATGTCGGCCCGAGATGGTGCAGCCTACAACACATTGTCCTGCGGAGGGAGCTGATAGGCACGTTGGGTTGCTCGGTCAATGGCCTGCAGGGTCAACGGCGGCGTGGTGTATTCCGCAAATATGCCCGACTGTGAGAGCGGGCACAAGCCGGCGTGAGTAGGTTAAACGTTGAGTTTTATAAGGGCACCACGGGGTGACCAGCCCCTCCCCACCCATCCCCACCCTCCCCACCCAGCCCCTCCCCACCCTCCCCACCCAGCCCCTCCCTGCACGACGGACACAATAATCCCCTGTGGGCTGGTGTAACCAGGAGGTTCCTACCAGTATAAGACCTCGTGTGTCAGTTGCTTTCTCTCTCTCATCTGCAGACGGTCGCTTGTGTTGCGATCGAAACGGCGTGATCGATTAATGTTCGACCTGCGTGACTTCACCAAAGCTTCGAATCAAGATATCAATCGCTCTCATCATGAACCCAGAATTAGCAACAAAAGGTAATAACACCGGACGATGCACGGGACGTGGCCCCAGCAGTATCATCGCGCAATTAAGTGGGAATTATTACGGGGCATTAAATACGTCTGTTTGAAGCCAGATACGACGCCAGCGAAACAATGGCGAAGAAGCGTGGTGGTGGTGGTGGTGGTGGCGGTGGTGGTGTTGGTGCTGGCGGTGGTGGTGGTGGTGGCGGTGATGACAGTGGTGGTGGCGATGGTGGTGGCGATGGTGGTGGCGGTGGTGGTGGTGGCGGTGATGACAGTGGTGGCGATGGTGGTGGCGGTGGTGGTGGCGGTGGTGGTGGCGGTGGTAGTGGTGGCAGTGGGGGTGGCGATGGTGATGGCGGTAGTGGTGGCGATGGTGGTGGTGACGGTGACGACAGTGGTGGTGGTGGTGGTGGCGGTGGTAGTGGTGGCAGTGGCGATGGTGGTGGCGATGGTGGTGGCGATGGTGGTGGCGGTGGTGGTGGTGGCGGTGATGACAGTGGTGGTGGTGGCGATGGTGGTGGCGATGGTGGTGGTGGTGGTGTTGGTGCTGGCGGTGGTGGTGGTGGTGGCGGTGATGACAGTGGTGGTGGTGGTGGTGGTGGCGATGGTGGTGGCGATGGTGGTGGCGGTGGTGGTGGTGGCGGTGATGACAGTGGTGGCGATGGTGGTGGCGGTGGTGGTGGCGGTGGTAGTGGTGGCAGTGGGGGTGGCGATGGTGATGGCGGTAGTGGTGGCGATGGTGGTGGTGACGGTGACGACAGTGGTGGTGGTGGCGGTGGTAGTGGTGGCAGTGGCGATGGTGGTGGCGATGGTGGTGGCGATGGTGGTGGCGGTGGTGGTGGTGGCGGTGATGACAGTGGTGGTGGTGGCGATGGTGGTGGCGATGGTGGTGGTGGCGGTGGTGGTGTTGGTGCTGGCGGTGGTGGTGGTGGTGGCGGTGATGACAGTGGTGGTGGTGGTGGCGATGGTGGTGGCGATGGTGGTGGCGGTGGTGGTGGTGGCGGTGATGACAGTGGTGGCGATGGTGGTGGCGGTGGTGGTGGTGGCGGTGGTGGCGGTGGTGGTGGCGGTGGTGGCGGTGGTGGTGGTGGTGGCGGTGGTGGTGGCGGTGGTGGTGGAGGTGGCGGTGGTGGTGGCGGTGGTGGTGGCGGTGGTGGTGGTGGTGGTGGCGGTGGTGGTGTTGGTGCTGGCGGTGGTGGTGGTGGCGGTGATGACAGTGGTGGTGGTGGCGATGGTGGTGGCGGTGGTGGTGGCGGTGGTGGTGGCGGTGGTAGTGGTGGCAGTGGGGGTGGCGATGGTGATGGCGGTAGTGGTGGCGATGGTGGTGGTGACGGTGATGACAGTGGTGGTGGTGGTGGCGGTGGTAGTGGTGGCAGTGGCGATGGTGGTGGCGATGGTGGTGGCGGTGGTGGTGGCGGTGGTGGTGGTGGCGGTGATGACAGTGGTGGTGGTGGCGATGGTGGTGGCGGTGGTGGTGGCGGTGGTGGTGGTGGCAGTGGGGGTGGCGATGGTGATGGCGGTAGTGGTGGCGATGGAGGTGGTGACGGTGATGACAGTGGTGGTGGTGGTGGCGGTGGTAGTGGTGGCAGTGGCGATGGTGGTGGCGGTGGTGGTGCGGGGAGCGGCGGTGCAGCGGTTAGCGCTCTGCGCTACAAAACCCTCAGAAACCCGAGTTCGATTCCCGCTCACGGCCACCAACACGAGTGATGTTCATCAGAACCAGTCCTGGCTGAGCTTCCCCTAGGTCGACTCAGACCCAAACGATTCCCTGGTGCGATATGTCAACATCGCAACTGTGACGATAAAGACTGCTGGGCGTGGTGTCCCAGGACTCCAACTGGGGGATTCGTAGCGCATTGCGCTAACCACTGCGCCACTACCTCCCCCCCCCCTTCCCGGCACACCACACACAACTTTCAAATATCAGACATTCATTAATACGCTACGGATTGGTTTGGGAACATTTGCGCCCGGAGACTCCGTCTGGGTCTCGGAGGAGGAGGTGGAGAGACAGGCAAGGAGCGACGTCTCCACCCCCCACCCACCCAGATCCCTTCGTCCCAAAAATGACCCCAGAGATGGGTTTGGCCGGCAGCTTTCCTCTTTTTTATTTTTTACGATCAGAGGAAACAAGAAGATGCTCGGTGTAGTCGGCACTTTGCTTCGTTCATCATTTCGATTTTTTTGTTTTTTATATAATGATTTGCTTTATGTAGCCCCCCCCCCCCCTTTTTTTTAATGAAAGATTTCACAAAAGATTTCACTCGACACGTGACCCCGGTGAGGGGGTGGCGGGGACGTCGAAGAGGGTGCAGCGGTTGCTAAATAATTAAATAAGCACTCCTATATGCAAATGTGATTAATGTTTTGATTTAAACGCTCATTGAAACACATGCGGGTCTAAATGATTTATTACTCCATCACCTCCTCCACTCCCACTCCACAAAAGTCGCTCCCTCCCTCTCCCTCCCCCGCTCCCTCCCTCTCTCTCCATCTCCCTCCCTCGCTCTCCCTCCCTCTCTCTCCCTCGCTCTGTCTCCCTCCCTCCCTCTCTCTCTCTGCCCATCGCTGTAATTTCTACCACATTATTCACGGCCAATCATTGTGGGCCAGGAGGTTGGGGGTGGTTTGGGGGGTGGTTTGGGGGGGGGTTGGAGGGGAGGGGGGGCGGCAGGATGGGGGAGGTGGGGGTCGAGGTGGAAGCAGGCGCGGGGGTGGGGGGGTTGCTACTGCTGCGGGTAATTTTGTGCCGCAATTACAAATTAAAGTGGATAAAATTACTGCCGGGATATTCGCGAGAAGTGGCGGAGTGGTGCGTTTTGCTTGGCGGGGCGCTGGGGCAGAGGCGGGAGAGGGGAGGGTGCGACCAAGGCGGGGGAGGGGGGGGTGGAAGGGGTGGGGAGTGTCTCGCATGTCAGGTCACGAGAGGTCACGAGAGGTCACGGGAGGTCAACACTCAAGTTTCGAGCGGATTCTCTCCTCTGGGTCGAAATCGCCCCAGACCGCGTGGCAAAGCGTTGCGGCTGGACCGCGGTTGTCTGGCAAACAGTGAAACGTAACCCAGCCCCCCTCCCTCCCTCCCCCCACGTCAATAGGGAGTGATCGATCGTTGCGTTGATCATCGATTAGCGTGAGAGAGTTCTGTGCTCCTCCTCCCGTGCTCTCCACGTGCACGTGGTTTGCAGGGTTAGAGCACCGGGCAGAGAAGGGAGATACACAAAAAGAGAGGACCCGTGTAGCCTGTAACAGACTGTAGGGGCAAGTGCTGTTAGCGAGCACCTATGAAGGCCGGAACGGTACACGAGGGGGTGCGTGGCCAGCACCACGCCCGACCGCCTTTGTCTCCCTACTGGCGATGTTTACCACACACCGCACCAGCTCCTTACTTGAGGCTGAGTCGACCTAAGGGAGGCCCAGGACCGGTTCAGATAATCGTCAATAGTGATGGCCTTGAGTGGTGCGCTAACCACTGCGCCACCGCTCCCCACGTGTATACAAAGACAAAATTCCCTCAAATAGCCTTAACAGACTGTAGGGGCAAGTGTTGTTAGCGAGCACCTATGAAGGCTGGAACGGTACACGAGGAGGTGGTGGCCAGCACCACGCCCGACCGCCTTTGTCTCTCCAGTGGCAATGTTTACCACACACCGCACCAGGTACTCATTTGAGGCCGAGTCGACCTAGGGGAGGTCCAGGACCGGTTCAGATAATCGTCACTGGGTGTTGGCCGTGAGCGGGAATCGAACCCGTGTCGCCGGGTTCATAGCGCAGCGCGCTAGCCCCTACACTACCCCTCCCCACACACATACACACAGACACACACAGACACACACACACGCACAGACACACACACAACCTATTTCTGTTATTGCGAAATTCAAGACTCCTTCAAAATGCACTCTGGGGAAAGGTTACGGCCCAAATTACGTTCACGCATTTGTGCTCGCGAATTGATATTCCTGCCGGCAGGGGCCACCAATGCGCTCACGGGGTGGCATCGGCGCTGGCGGGTCAATTGCATTTCGAGGGCTCTGCTCGGGGCCAGCCACGGCCACACAAACCCAGAGGCCGCGAGCGCGCAGCAGCACACGCCGCGTGCCAAGGGGGCGCCCTACGGCCACTGAGCGTGTGGGAGTGTGGTAGGGAGACAAAGGCGGCCGGGCGTGCCGACATCCATTCCCGCTCACGGTCACCACCACCAGTGACCATTGTTTGGACCGGTCCTAGATCTCCCCCCCCCCCCCCACCCGATAGGTTGACTCAGCATCAAATGATTGCCGAGTACGATGGGTAAACATCGCCAAGAGGGAGACAAAGGCGGCCGCGCGTGGTGCTTTGACAACCACGTCCCCTCGTGTGCCGTGCCGGCCTTCGTAGGCGCTGCTACTCGCTAACAGCACTTGCCCCAACAGTCTGATTAGAGGCTATACGGGGAATATTTGTCTTTGTTGTTGTCACCTGAGTCGGTCAACCCATGGCACCTGCTGGGCCTGTCCCGTGACCTCCTGCCACACTCCATGTGGCCTCAAAGCGCACCTAGCCTGGCACAGTCTACGTCTCCCTGTGCAAGTCTACGGGTCCCTGTGTGAGTCTATGGGTCTCCGTGTGAGTCTTTGGGTCTCTGTGTGAGTCTATGGGTCTCTGTGTGAGTATATGGGTCTCTGTATGAGTCTATGGGTCTCTGTGTGAGTATATGGGTCTCTGTGTGAGTCTATGGGTCTCTGTGTGAGTCTTTGGGTCTCTGTGTGAGTCTATGGGTCTCTGTGTGAGTCTATGGGTCTCTTTGTGAGTCTATGGGTCTCTGTGTGAGTCTACGGGTCTCTGTGTGAGTCTATGGGTCTCTGTGTGAGTCTATTGGTCTCTTTGTGAGTCTATGGGTCTCTTTGTGAGTCTATGGGTCTCTGTGTGAGTCTATGGGTCTCTGTGTGAGTCTATGTGTCTCTGTGTGAGTCTATGGGTTTCTGTGTGAGTCTTTGGGTCTCTGTGTGAGTCTTTGGGTCTCTGTGTGAGTCTATGGGTCTCTGTGTGAGTCTATGGGTCTCTGTGTGAGTATATGGGTCTCTGTGTGAGTATATGGGTCTCTGTGTGAGACTTTGGGTCTCTGTGTGAGTCTATGGGTCTCTGTGTGAGTCTATGGGTCTCTGTGTGAGTATATGGGTCTCTGTGTGAGTCTATGGGTCTCTGTGTGAGTCTTTGGGTCTCTGTGTGAGTCTATGGGTCTCTGTGTGAGTGTATGGGTCTCTGTGTGAGTCTTTGGGTCTCTGTGTGAGTATATGGGTCTCTGTGTGAGTCTATGGGTCTCTGTGTGAGTCTTTGGGTCTCTGTGTGAGTCTATGGGTCTCTGTGTGAGTGTATGGGTCTCTGTGTGAGTCTTTGGGTCTCTGTGTGAGTATATGGGTCTCTGTGTGAGTCTATGGGTCTCTGTGTGAGTCTTTGGGTCTCTGTGTGAGTCTATGGGTCTCTGTGTGAGTATATGGGTCTCTGTGTGAGTCTATGGGTCTCTGTGTGATTCTTTGGGTCTCTGTGTGAGTCTATGGGTCTCTGTGTGAGTCTATGGGTTCCTGTGCGAGTCGATGGGTCTCTGTGTGAGTCTTTGGGTCTCTGTGTGAGTCTATGGGTCTCTGTGTGAGTCTTTGGGTCTCTGTGTGAGTCTATAGGTCTCTGTGTGAGTGTATGGGTCTCTGTGTGAGTCTATGGGTCTCTGTGTGAGTGTATGGGTCTCTGTGTGAGTCTTTGGGTCTCTGTGTGAGTCTTTGGGTCTCTGTGTGAGTGTATGGGTCTCTGTGTGAGTCTTTGGGTCTCTGTGTGAGTCTTTGGGTCTCTGTGTGAGTCTATGGGTCTCTGTGTGAGTGTATGGGTCTCTGTGTGAGTCTTTGGGTCTCTGTGTGAGTATATGGGTCTCTGTGTGAGTCTATGGGTCTCTGTGTGAGTCTTTGGGTCTCTGTGTGAGTCTATGGGTCTCTGTGTGAGTGTATGGGTCTCTGTGTGAGTCTATGGGTCTCTGTGTTAGTCTATGGGTCTCTGTGTATTTTTTTGGGTCTCTGTGTGAGTCTATGGGTCTCTGTGTGAGTCTATGGGTCTCTGTGTGAGTCTATGGGTCTCTGTGTGAGTCTATGGGTCTCTGTGTGAGTCTATGGGTCTCTGTGTGAGTCTATGGGTCTCTGTGTGATTCTTTGGGTCTTTGTGTGAGTATATGGGTCTCTGTGTGAGTCTATGGGTCTCTGTGTGAGTCTATGGGTCTCTGTGTGATTCTTTGGGTCTCTGTGTGAGTCTATGGGTCTCGTTGTGAGTCTATGGGTCTCTGTGTGATTCTTTGGGTCTCTGTGTTAGTCTATGGGTCTCTGTGTGAGTCTATGGGTCTCTGTGTGATTCTTTGGGTCTCTGTGTGAGTATATGGGTCTCTGTGTGAGTCTATGGGTCTCTGTGTGAGTATATGGGTCTCTGTGTGAGTATATGGGTCTCTGTGTGAGTCTATGGGTCTCTGTGTGAGTCTATGGGTCTCTGTGTGATTCTTTGGGTCTCTGTGTGAGTAGTCTATGGGTCTCTGTGTGAGTCTATGGGTCTCTGTGCGAGTCTATGGGTCTCAGACCATCACCATGGTTATTACC